CCTGGTGTCATCTAGGCCATGCATTGCCTGCACTCTAAAAAAAATTAATACAAAAATCTGTAATTTGGATATGCAGTTTTTTCAGCATCCGTGATACAAAAAATTGTATTCTTTCAAATACATTAACAAATCTGTAATACGGATACAGAAATTTGTATCCATCGATACAGATACAGAAAAAAATATGTTTATGTTCAAACATGCTCTGATATGAAAGAAAAATATTTTTTTTCTGCTGGTTGTCTCATTCTAGATATTGCCCACACATGGAAGCCAATTAATTTCAAAGTTGTACCCTTACCTAACCGGGATTTGAACCCCGAACCTCTGGGTTGGGATTCGACGCCTTAGCTCACGCGGCTAAGGCGACTACCTGCGACAAGCCGTGCTCTGAACTCTTCCCTATGTATTGGCTGGCCCCTGAGCCTTTCCCTTAGCTATCGGGCTATCAGATGGGATTTTTATGTGAATGCTTAGGAAATTGATTTTATCGTAGGGTGCCAGAATCAGTCGAACAGCTACTCAAATTGTGTTCAAATTGAGCGTTAAAACGGGAAAGTTTTGAACGCACGTACTAATTTCTGTTTCCATGTTACAGAAATTTGTATCCCGTTTCCAGAAATTTGTAATCAGATTACAGAAAATTATAAAATGAATGTAAAATTCTGAAATTAATTAAAAATTTTGTAATGTTTACAAATTTCTATAAACTATTGTAAGATTTTGTATCACCGATACATATTGCTGTATCACAGTGCTCAGATACAGAAAATTATATCAAATTTGATACAAAAATCTGTAATTTTTCTTAGAGTGTGTCGTTTCTTGCATATCCGCCAAGGTTGTCCGTTAGCATAATGTAATTAAATTTAAAACATATCTTCCAGTCTTTCCTGCCATCGCAACTTTCTATGGGTGGGGTCTTTTAGGTTTAGGGCACATAATGTGAGGGTACTTGGATCATCGATAGGGTTAGGAAGGGCAAGCACTAATACCAAGCTTGTTTGTGGTATTGTTGTGAAACAGGGCCTTCACCTCTATACTTTTGATTTGCTAGATTCATATGAAGTTTGACGGTATATTTTGAAAGAAGGAAAACAAACGGGTTTGATAGTAGTTTATGGCTTAATACACTAACGGTGTAGGGTTTACTTTGCCATCCTAGATGGCACTGACATACAATAATAGCCATGCAACCCGAGGGGGTTTTCACTTCTGAAATACCGTGTACACCAAATGAGGTATTTCACGTGTATTTCGCGTGGAATACACCGAAATATGCCTAAATATGCTCCAAAACGGTGAACTTTTCCTGAGAAATACCGACGAAATACACGTATTACGAAATACTGTGTGCACGGAAATCTCGAGTGCAAACCCCCTCGATGCAACCCTATGCATGAGGATGCAAAGCAATTTTGTCATGGCTATCTCAGATGCCTTTGCAGTGGCGGTGAATGCAATGCCCATGCTGAGGCGATGAATGCAATGCCAATACATTGGCAATGAATTCAAGGCCAATATATTGGCGATGAGTTCAATGCAAAATGTCTAAAAAGTGCCAATTACTTGGCAATAAAACCATCGCCAAAATTTAGGCCATGGAATTCATCAGCTAATTTCAATACCTTACGAAGCTTCTACTGTTGGCTACTAATCCACTCCCAAAATGTTTAGCGATGGACTTCATTTTCATTACCAATGGCAATAACTTATGCATCGCCTTTCTGGAGAAGGTAGTTCTGTCCAGGGTTGTTAACGTTACTTTGAAAATGTATCGCGATACCGTTACCTCGTTACTCTACCCTCGGTAACGTGTTACCGATACCGTTACAGCCTTCGGAGAATTGTAACGCGTTACGTTACTGGTAACTTCGTTACTCGAAACATGAAATTAATATTTTTAAAACATTTCGAGAAAGAAACAGTTTTAAGGTGTTCATGTATAATAAAGGGTATTTTATACGTAAAAAAAAGCATGTAAACTGAAGCCAAGTTTCTTTTAGAAATTCGATACCTACAAGGAACACACACGTACTTTTGAGGCCCGTGGACAGACTCACGTAGTTCCGAGCTGCGATTTCAAACTCACGTACTTCTGGATCCCAAGGACAAACTCACGTAGTTCCTATCTTGTAACCAAGAACTACGTTAGTCTTTCCAAATGGGTTCAGAAGTACGTGAGTTTGAAATCGCAGCTCAGAACTACGTGAGTCTGTCCTCGGGTCCCAGAACTGCGTGTGTCTTCCTTGTAGGTATCGAAATATTTTTCGTAATGTTGTATACAATGAAATCTAGCAAAGAGAGCAAGACTTTTTAATGTTCTAGACAAGGGGGAAATTACATGCGAAATAAGTCTTACACTTACACCTCCCGCAAAATAAATGCGAAATAATGGCGAAATAGTCACGAAATACCACCCAAATACCGCGAAATAGCCGAAATACGTTGAAATAACTCGTACGCTGTGCCCTCAAGTCAGTCATTTCCCCCTCGACTCTACAGAAGTTCGGCGGAGCGAAACGGAGGCGACGCACTGCAGTGACTGACTCAAATGTGACCGAAGGAAGCTGTCACCTGCTGTTCCTGCCCTTACCCTTCCGCCTAGCCTGCCTCCACCACTCCACCAGGCAACACGCCGGTGGCGGTAAGGAGAGCAAAAGGACTGCTGACCTACGGCTGACTCATATGTCTGGGCAGGAGGCTGGCGCTGATACGAAGCGGTCTCCTTGTCACCATACCGCACTTCCTCGGCGAGCGAGCCAGTGCGGGGAGTCACAACATCCCCTCCTCCCTCTCCCAGTCCCACGCCGCAGTCCAGCGGCCCTAAGCGCCGCGCCCAGCTATATGCTGAGAAGTCACGATATAAGACCTGACCCCCCCACCCCTCCCCCCCTTCGGCTCCGTGGTGTTTCACGGGAAAATATTGCACGATTGCTGCAGAGCGCTTAAACTTTAACTCCCTT